AACACAATCTAACCCAGGAAAGAAAGGCTGCGGGTTGGAGGTAAGGAAATGAGTGGTCCTGGAGAATAGGGGGATATTTGGAGGGTCCCCAAGGCATGGGACCTGGGAGAAACTGGAGAGAAATAGCATCGATATTTTTATTTTAGCTATTTTAGCTACCAATAACCTTGCACAAGTCATGCTATAACAATCAGTGTTTAACAGTCATTAAACACTATTCTTAGTATTGCATGAAAAAAATTAAACTTGACTCCTACTTATTGAGAGACTGACACCCAAATCCAATGGACCATGGTGATTTCAGTAAAGGTCATCAGACTCTATGATCCCACCAGGCTTCACGCACATGGATGAAGATAAAGTATCTTATTAATAAGCTCAGTAATTTTATTTTTTTTTTAATTTTAAAAGATTTATTTATTTATGCGTATAAGAGCTGGGGTACAGGCCAGAGGTGTGGGGGGTGAGAGGATTCACCAGAGACAGAGTGGGGAGCAGAACAGGCAGAGTGACCGAAATACACTGCTGAGGGAGCAGCAGGCAAGTCAGGAGAGGTCTGCTGTGCCATGTAGGTCAGCTCTCTGGCCAGGGATGGAACTTGTGGTGCAGTGGCTGCAGATAGCTTCATAGGTTGCGTCTTAACCCCTTGTGCCACCAGGGAGGCCCAAGCTCAGTAATTTTTAAATAGCTTCAAAGTTTTGCTTTTTTTGGCCCTCAAATTAGCCATAGTAACAAAACATCTTCCAAGGAGAGCTGGACCCTTTGTGCTGATCAAGAAGAAATGCCCAGTTTAACCACAAGCCCTGCCATTCTGGAAGAGCCTCCAGAATTAGACCTGCTTTGCTAAATGTTACCTAGCATGGCTAGGAGCACCTGGAGGTGCTGAATCTTTCCCTGTGGTGGCCATAAAGTCACAGGCTCAGAGAACAATGGGCAACCCCCATGGATTCCATCCCTCCCAGCCTTCCAGGGAGGGCTGTTTTGCTTTCATGTCTAGCTGGGCCCATGTACACTTGAGAAGATTCTAAAGTGTGTCTGTACCTCAGGACCGAGAGCAATCTCACTAACAGTTACTGGCTCAAAAAGGTTAACACTTGTAAAGAAAGTTAATTATGTGAATGCAATGCAGCTTGTTTCTCTTTTTGAAGTATATTTTTTTCATGCCGCCAGGAGGGTGATTTACAGACACATTTGTCTCTCTTTAGTGAAAATTAATTCCAGTTGGTGTTCTGGGCCAAAAGGGAAGAAGGAGGGATGGAGACAACTCAGCTCTTCCTTCAGCAAGAGACTGCAGGCCCGCACTCCATCTCTGACTGTGGCTTGCCATGGTTCCCATGGCAATGGCGAGGGGCCGGAAGCGGAAGGGGTACCGACAGATTTTTGCTACCGTTGGTATAAAAAATAAGCAAAACTATTAATATCAACGACCAGGTTCCACCTTTATCTTTGAGGTGAAGCGAACTACTTTCAAAGATGATTTCAAAATAAAAGACACAGAGCAGGAGAGACATTGTCACCTCCCCTAAGCAAGTGAGCAGAACTTTTCCAACATCTCGGCCCGACGACACACATTTCGCCATATGCTTTGGAGCCATAATGTATTCACCCAGCTTTTCAACATGAATGGTGATAATAGTCATCATGTGTTGAGTCCTCACCACAGTCAGTCACTCTGCTAAATGTTATAAGAGGATTATCTAATTAAATGCTCAAAACAACCCTATGTAGTAGGTACTATTATTGCTTCCAGACATCCCTAGACCATAGTTAGGGAGCTGAACAGCTCTCCAGATCCTTTGAGCATCAGGCAACCCTCATTCATAGCATGCAAATGTGAAGGTTATCAGGTCCAATACATTTGCACTGAAAAGCAGAAAACATTTCTGAATTTACACACTTATTTTTCAAACTGAGAAGTATTCTACAACTTAGTAGTACTATGTGTCTGGCTTCCCTAAGAGTGTGAGGAAGTTAAAGGGTCAGAAGAAAAAGAATTTCCTTTTCTTGGAAAACCCATTACAACTTTCTTTTTGATGGAGAGAGGGGCAGTGAGTGGGTCCTATGTTAAAACTGCAATGTGTTTGGATGTTCTACTGTACATCTAGGTAACATCTAGCAAAGCAGATTTAATTAAAAGTGGAAGTGATCTAATTCTTTAACCCAACCCCTCTGGTTGTAAGATAAAAAGCACAGGCCCAGAGAGGTTAAAAAATGTGTTTGGAATCATCAGTGGAGAAGCAAAGTCATCAGCAAGTCTCAGTCCTCCTGATTATTAATCCAAAACTACTCTACTTCTCCTGGCCTTAAAACATTAGACATTGGACGGGTTGACCATTTTGGTCTATCTGTTATTCCTTCTGCCCATCCCACTTATTAATTCTAGAATGTGAATGGGATCCAAATAGATCCATGAGAGTGAGGAATATGGATGGAATCATTAAGAAAGAGAAGTTGAACAGGTAGGTTATACCTAGAACTCTGGGGTGGGGTAGACAGGCAAAGGCACAGATGATAAGAACTACTGTGAATGAGATCAGGGAAGTGCTAAGTCAGGTAAATAGACCAAAAGATAATGAGAAACAAATTCCTCCTAACAATGTTTGAACACCCAAATCCAGCTATACCTAATGCTAGACAATTGATCTCCTGTTTTACTTGAATAGAGTTTCTGTCACTTGCAGCAAAAGAACTTTGGCTGATACACCCCTAGTTGTCTTTCAAAAATCCCATTTGTCATCTCCCCTCTTTAACATTTTCCAGGGATCTCATATTAGAGATAGCCATTTGTACCCTCCTTGTGCCATTTGTTGTTATAACTACTTTTCTAACTGTATTTTTCCTGATGTATTGTTATTATTAGACTTTAAGGTTTAGGTGAGAGTGAATGTCTAATTAATCATTGGAATTCTAATTACTTGTCCAGTCCCTTACACATAGCAGATACTTGATATATGTGCATTGAACTGAATTGAATTTGATTCTAAATACTTTTTTGGTGAACACTGAACCCATCGATGCTTCAATGGTTTCCCATTACTAAGAATAAAATCCAACTTCTTTGTCATAGACAACAGGGCTCTACAATAGCTGCCTGCCTCTCCCGTCACAGTTCCTTCCACAGCAGCCTACACTTTCCTAAGTGTACCAAACCTGAGTGTACCTCAGTGTCTTTGAGTATTCTGTTTTTTTCTGCCAGAAAAGCTCTTGTGCTAGATACTGCAATGACAATCATCTGCAATATCACTCTGTTATCGTTATCTGAGAGCCTTTCTCAGACAATCTTACCCAAAACAGCACCTCAATCACTCTCAAACCCTTACCTGGTTTTTGTCATTTTCATGACACTTAACCCTCTCTGATAATAACACTAGATAAGTAGTGCATATTTATTGCTTTATTTACCACTATCTCCACCTCTAGAATGTATGACAGCACTGTGTTCATCTCTAGAATTTTTCAATTTTGCTCACAAATACATTCCTATCTAGCTACCCTCTAGCAATTTTTGCATTTTCCATTTATTTGTTGCTATAATTTTTAAATAACCTTAAATTTAAAATGATAAAGAAGAAAATCATTAGAACCAATATACAAAACTAATTTATATATTAATTTGTTACATACTCACTGAAAAAAAGAATGGACTCAAACAACTTTTCGACATAATACTTTGATTTTTAAACCTGTAGTTAAATCTAGTCTAAGAATAAAAATAATTTTACCAAGAATATATCTAAAATAACTGGTTGGTAGTTTACTAACGTAGTGATTCTGAAACTATCATGCAGGTATAGTAGGATAAAGGAAAAGAATAAATAAACCAATGCTGCTGGGCACCCTGTTCTTCCATGGGGGAGAAAGGGTGAACAAAAATGGAATGGGGAAAGGAAAAGGAACCTTGTGAGGTTGGATTAGAATTGTGACTATTTGTGTGAAGTCATTCTGTTTCCGAGCTCTGCCTGCAGACAGTTTAAAGGAAATGATATTCCAGTAGCAAAGAGCACACTTGTGCTCAGGTGTTGGTTTTTAAATGCCACTGCTATTAAAAGGAACCAGCACTCCTTGAAGAAATGACTGATTCCAGAGCTATACCAGGGAAAGTACAAATAATCCTATAACATGTGTTTGTGCCAAAAATCAAGAAAATGCTCAAAGACTAATGGGGACCTGTTAAGACATAGGATTCAGCTCAAAGGAACTCCCATTGTCCAATTTTGGAACAACAAGAGCATCAAAAACAGGATGTAATAAATCTTAACATATCAAAGAGAAATAATAATACATGATTCCACAGTGATTTTTTTTTAAGTAAATAAAAGAGAAGATGAAGAGGGAAGATCTTCTCTACAGAAGTATACCAGATGATATCTACAAAGGTAGATCAGAGAAATCACCATTTTACAACCCGCAGTGTAATAACTGATTGAGACAAGATCGTCAATGACTGAAACTAGTGGCGAGGGGTAAAGATATTCACATGGATTCGGATTATTTATTAACCTCAAAAAGAAAAAGGTGCTTTACAAAGTAAGATCTGGCATACCACACCCTTGACCAATCCATCAAGTTTGGCATTGCCAACCGTGGGACACACAGACATTGTATGCCTCCTGATGTGGTAAACAGAAGCACACAATAGCATCTGTATAGTGTTCCTGCCAAAATGATTTCATTGAATCTAAGCATTGAGGGTAGACTCAGAGAAATTTCTACAGGGTACCTGGACTAGACTCTTCAAAATCATTACCATGAAGAGCAATAAGAAAATCAGGGACTCAGATATGATAGCTATTATGATAGATGAACTTCTACTGAGTTCTGGGTTTTTAAAGTATGTTATGGAGAACATTTTGGGAATAACTGGGGAATTTTGAATATGGACTAAACTCCTCTGTGTGTATGTAGAGGAAGGCAGAAAATGAAGGAATAAACCCCAAGTGTCATAATGTATTTCAGTTCTGATGATGTTGGAAGAACAAAAAAACATGTCTTCAACTCACCTCACCAGTGGCATAAAAGTCATTCTTCTGATATTCAGGAAACAACTGGAAAAACTGAATGAGTGCGCTGCAAAAAGGAGAACAGCAATAAAAACATGGCTCGGAATATCTTCATGCTGTGCTACCAACTCTAACCCTTTGACAATAGGTTTCACATTTGAAATTAGATACCACCATGAGCTCTCATAGGCATTTTTTTAAAGGCTCATGCACATAACACTTCATACGCTGTAGAAGGCTAGAAAATGCTTGTGGGCTTCCTTTGTGATGCTGAGAAAGTTGAGACAAGTGGACATCACTGCTCTGGGCAGGTTTCCAAGTCTTTGGGTTACCAAGTGAAACAGGCTCTCAGCTATTACTTAGCAGTTCCTGAAGGTAGTTCTGCAATGGCCCCGTTAACCTGGGCTTGGGGTGATATAAAAGGAAGCTTGGTTGCTTACTAACCTCCCCCAGTAGGAAACATTTCTAATGGAGCTCTCAGAAAATCAGTGTTTTAATAACCAAAGAACCAAAAAGCTGTAAAATGATTATGTTCTGAAGGAAATGGCCACAGACATGAAAGTAAATGTATAGTGGCCTCCAGGCTCAAAAAATCACCCTAAAGAATGCCAGCAGCCACTTCAGTGAGTTATGCTGAAATAGTTTTAAACAGGCTCAAGAAATTATTTCCTAATAAGCAAGAAAAGAATGATTCTCTACTTGACCAAAATCTTTGAAAAAGGAAACAAAAAGTTGTGGACTTCAGAAGCTCTATAATGTTCTGACCCAGATTACAAAGCCTGACAGGCTAAGCAGGATTTCATTCCAGCTTCCTGCAGAGAGACTAAAAGCCATGAACCATCCAGTGAAGATGAAAGGCAAAGAGGCCCTGAAAAATATGGGGGAGGAGAAAGTTCAAGGGTTACAGAGAGGCAAAGCTGGGTCATTACCATCATCTCAATCATGGCCATCCTTAATTTTCAAAGGCTCCATAAAAATCCACCATTGAACATTATTGTAGAGCTATGGTGTACTTCTATTTATTATTTATAGCAACTACAATCTTTGCAGCAACTAAATATGGAAAGCTGCATTATATAGCTTCCATGTTTGTGCTGGCAGTAAGCTGGCTTTAGAGCAGAGATAAAAATAGGAATTTATTTTTTACTCTTCCCTTTCGAAACTTCAGGCTAAAACTACTTCTCTTTCTTTCTGCTAGTTGGAATGGCAATAGCTTAAGTTAATATAATAAACCTCAATTAAACATTATACTGCAACAAAAAGCTTTTTTTCCCTTGGAGAATTAGTTGGTGAGGTGTTTGAGTTGCCATAGTTAGCAAATAGAAACAGAAGACATTGAATTAAATTTGAATTTCAGATAAATAACTAATAATGCTTTCATATAAGTACTTCCCAATTATTTCATGGGACATACTTAGATTAGAAAATTATTCATTGTTTATCTAAAATTTTAATTTAGTTGAAGACAAACTTTCAATTTGGTTCTAGCCTGAAAATGCCAGAATTTTCTAGCTTATGTTTCTAAGGCAATGTCCTAGATGTGGAATTTATGGCATTTTAAATTCATAGTAACGTCTAGAACAAAACAGTGACTAATGATATCAAACCCCAGTTGTTTTTTCTTAAATGAGAGTGAAAGATATAAAAAGGGTAAATTAATAAGTGAGATTTATATATGCCTATGTCCCCTTAACTGTGCTTTAGTCAAGGACTATTTTTAATGCACAGGGAGGGTTTGCTTAACAAAATGATCTAGAATCATGGTCAGTTGCACAGTTTAAGCACTATCACTAAATTATATATCATACATACTACACACATATATATGTGAGAGAGAGACAGAGATAGTGTGTGTGTGTGTGTGTGCGCACTTGATGCATTTATTTTGGCACAAGAGGCATCTGGTATAGGAAACATCCCTCTTTCAGGTAATTCCATTTGGCAACCTTGCTAGCATTAGCCAAGGTGTTGTCAAATAAGCAGAATTTTAATCCAAGTTACCTGGTATGGAAAGATACAATAAATGACAAGAAGAAATGGAGATTAAGGCAGAGAGACTAAGAGAAAACAACTCCTTAGGTAATTTTTTTTTTAAGCAACATCTCATGCAAGCCAATATGTGGAATAGAAGAGTAGTAGCATTTCCATTTGACTGCTAAGAAAATACCTTCATGGTTGCTACAGAAAGCAAGGGCCAGGAGAGCAGGTGCCTGGAGTTCATTTGCTACTGTGTCACTTGGAACAGTGTCTGGCACATAGTACCCAATCAATAAAAAGAGGCAGAGAAGGAGAGGAACACCAGTTAGTGTCCTTCAGATAAATTCGATAAAATTATTCTTCCTTAGTAATTTTTTGCTCCAAATCACTGTGGCTCAACAGGACATTCTAAATGCGGAGTGGGTGGTGGAGAAGATGGGGGAAGAATATTTAAACATCTCCTTAGTGAAAAAGTTTCATTTTCAAGCACAAAGCAAACCAGCCTAAGTGTGAATGTCAAATGTGCCTTTAGGAGTCTACTCCTTATAGCAGTGCACTATTAATAGTCCAAAGGAAGAGGATTTTCAGGAATAAAGATAGTTTTTCAAAGGAAGCCAAAGAAAGATCTACTCTTTAAACCTATAGTTTCCCATTTACAGGTTTCAAAGAGACCTTCTTATTCTAAACACCCATCTGGAGAGCTGGGGAGAAGAATGTAGACACAAAGGGAAACAAATAATGTAAACTATAAAGGAAACAGCTGAAATCAGTTTTCTGCACTACCCTTGATTAGCTATTTTCCAGCTCTAAGAGCCTGAAGCAAAAAGAACTAAAACAGCTATAAACAATGGATGCTTTGAAATAGGTTCTCTTTACATGTCATGCAAGAGGAGATGTACCACATGTCAGCAGTAAATATCTACACAGAGGGTCAACTGGAAGCTGTGACCATCTTTGGAGGAGGGGACAGGAGACAGAGGGAAGGCAATGCTCTGGTTTAGAGGGGTTGGGGCTTTTAATACAGAACCTGAGCCCTCAGGGTGTTTGCTAGTTAAACAACTGAGCTTGCTTGGATTTATGCCAAAAGACAATGGCAGAGGAGGGGGCAGGGGGAGCAGTGAGTTTCCCATCCCAAGAACAAGAGCAAAGAGTTCGGACTATATGAGAAAGATACTGTCCTTGAGTAAGTTTGCAAGGTCAGCCATCTCTGAATATGCCTGTGGAGGCGAGCGGGAAGTGTGGGGGCCACGGACCCTGGAGAAGGACCCTCGTAAGGAACTGGCTGATGTGCTCACAAGGTCCATTGTGCCTGGAAGGAGAATTATGGGGTCCCAGGCATCGCCCCCTGGAAACTGTAAGGAAGTGTTAAAATAATGGGACATGTGGCAAATGCAAGTGGAGAAGTCAACAGCCATATTTTTTTCTGGGTCAGCAGAGAGAGAAACGTCTCTGGGAGAAAGACCAGGAAATGCCTCTTTCCTCTCTCCCCCAGCCATCTGCCCTGGGGAGAAAAAAGAATAAAACGGAAAGCTTTTGTCAGATCAAAAAACTCTGACTCCTATTAGATTCTCTCTCACTTTGGGGATTGGTTGGGTTTGCTCACCAAGTAATTTGCAGGAGTGTTTGGTGGAAGGGGGGTGGCACAGAGAGAGGGAGAGGAGGTAGTTAACTCTTTCAGGCCACTAAGATTTCTTTAGTAAATTCTTATAATACATCAAGTGGTGCTCTCGAGATCAGAAAGAATTCAGGACTTGATCTCCAGTCATAACTCACAGGCTGGGAGAATGTCACCAAATAAGAAAGATCACTTACTTTAAAAAAAGAGTGCTAAAAATAGCTATAATGAGTGTGAGTCAAACAAAGAAAGGGAGAAATTATACGTATGCTGTTTGATCAGGCTTATGACTTGACAATTTCCGTCTTTTTTTTTTTTTTAGTAAAAGAATAATTTTGTAAGGTGAAGGGAAAAGAGAAGGCACTAGCTAACAAGCTGAGCTTTCAGCCTGGAAAAGTCATGAAGAAAACAAGAGAGTGAAAAATTGCATCTGAAGGTCACAAAAGACAGAATTCTGGGAAAGAAAACAAACAAACATCTGAAAAGATGTTGTTTTCTGGCAAAGTTAAATGCAATATTGGAAAGCAAGCAGAAACCTCTCGGGCATCTGGCTGAGATATTTGAAAATAATCTCTGGTTGGATGATAATTCTCTGTGTCTATTGTTTCTCAGGAGATATTTTTATAAAATCTCAATAGACCTTAAAGATTTCAGTTCCTCGTGGCACTTTCTCTCTCTGCTGGTCACTTTCATTATTACCAATGAATGTAACAAGGTGGAAAACTGTGTGTGTGTGTGTGTGTGTGTGTGCATATGCCTCATGTGGACTTTTTAAAAAACTATCTACAGGAATTGGATTATGAGGACCAGTTAAAAATCCCTCTACTACTAGAAGGATTTTCCCATCAAAAAAAAATGCTTGGTCTGCAGAGAGAGCCAGGGCGGGTTACCTGTATAAGTCACGTGCCACGTCATCCTCATTGGTTGCATATCCCTGAGGTTCATCAGTAAAGCTGAATCCTGTGCCCACCTAAAGGTGAAATAAATAAGCAGGTGTAAACATAGAGAAGTGCGTGTCCTGGAGCCTTGCAGAGAGATCGCACACTCAAAGGAAATCAACCTTATTCCAAAGGCCAGGCCTCTGGCCTCAGTTTCTCCCTTATCCATGTGCCCCCAACCATCCTCACAGGAAGATGCTATTTCCCCTCTGCAAGCCAAGATCAAATAAAACATCAGCACAAAACTTGGCCCTCAGGTCGGTGGGGGAGCTGTCCTGATCCCGAAGTGGACCTCTACCACATGTAGACTGAGGTGGGAGGATTCACCTTCCCCACCCGCCACAGCATCAAAGACCTAAAGTTGTCTTCTCGTTGCCATCAAGAGGGAGTGCTCTAGGCTGGAGGTATAAGATAATTGTGTGTTTCCATTTCTTCACTTATGAGAAACCCATTCCTCTTCAGTAGCAAAGGAATTTTAGAACAATTAAATCACTTTAAACTAATATTTCCCTACACCCAGCAGTTCATATTCAACTGAGCGGTAACTCAAAAAAAAATATTGCTTATTTGGTGCAATAATTTGTTTAAGGGGTACACCCCTCCCTAGGTAGGAATATGATTGTTTTTGATTTTTCCCCATACCCCAAAGGGAATAGGACATTTAAATCAACAAGTATTTAAATAAGCAATGACAGATTCTGAAAGAGGATCGGTGACAAAATACGGCAGGGAAGTGGGAAACATAAGTGCTGGAACGTTTTCCCTTCCTATTTATCTATTTTCTCTTGAAACCATAAGGGAAGTGAGAGAAATTAATTGGGGGCAAAGATACTCTGTGCCAGCAGGAGCTGACCCCAATGTCACTCCCCTACTTTGCAGTTTATTGGACTCAATTTCAGAAAAATTTCCCAAGAAGATTCAACTTCTTGTTCTGAGATGAGGCATTCTGCTCACTCTGATAAGTGAAAGAGACCAGTTTTGACCTTTTTTAAATGTGGGACTCTATTTGAAATCGTGGGCCTTCAGATACTCTAAGCTGGCCCACAACATGGGGAATCCGTATCACCAGGAAAAAGAAACTAATCCCTTATCCGGGGATTGAGTCCACAGGACATTTCATAAAATTCAAAATGAGGAAAGGAGGAGGCGAGCAAGCAAGTTTCCCAAAGGGTGTTAATCATGACACATGTTAGAAAAACGAATCTCAAAACGTTTTCTTCATGGATAAAATTCTATTTTAAAAGTAAAACAACTAAAACTCTTTTCTTTTAAGTACACTAAAAACAAGACAAAAGACAACACGGGTGTTTTACCAGGCCACCAGATACTCACTGGATTGTCAATGTAAAGCATGGACAATGTGGTGGTCCACGGGAAGTCTCTGGCATGCACTATTAAAGCAGAGAAGAGGTTTAAGGCTGGGTGGGTGACAAGATATCCCCTCTAAGTCCTCGCTCAGGTCAGGAACGCATTCCCCTGTCCTCTCAGGTCAATCAGCTCTTGGTGTCCCTCTGATGTGCTTCATACACGGAGGACACGGACACAAGCGCCTGCCTCTCTCCTCCCCTCTCCTTTACTTTGCCTGGACTCAGAAGTTTCTCCAACTAAGATGAACTTTGGAAACAAAACCCTGTGCAACTGGTTCATGTAGAAACACTCATTAACCACCGCTGCAATAACCCATCTGTCTAACCCAATGAATCATCTTCAACTTCCAATCCCTTGAGTCCTCTTCCTCCCATCCATCGCTGAAGAGAACAACAACTTCAGCAGAATTGGCATACAAACTTTTACTCTGAGTCACAAACTCATTTACTGTCTAAATTCTAACCCAGGGAAAGTAAACAATCCCCTGCCTCCAAAAAAATGAGATGGTGGGAAATCTGGGTTCTGGCCAGATGTGGCTCCCTCTCCATTTCTTCCTTCACCCCAACTCCACCCACAGTTTCTTACCTCCAAGATATTCAATCATTTCTGAGACTGAATCAGTGTTCAGTCTGTGTGAATAACTAGGGATACAATCCTAGCCATTAATCCCACGCAAGAGACCTCTTCCAGATAGTAATAAATACCAACTGTTTTCATAAGCTGAGATTGCTTGAGTCAGCAGCAGACTTCAAGAAAATAGCTTAAAACCTTTCACCCAAATTTCAAGAAGAAAGCAGCCTGTCCGGACATTCATGCCGGTGGCTCCTCCTTCTTGGATAGACTTTGCCAGAAAGCTATGTTTTTATAATCTGGAATTGTTAAGATATTCCTACTGGTTCAGTGTATACCCTAAATGGTTTCTGGAGCAGAGAGATATAAGGTTCAGATGAAGAATTCCCCACAGGAAGATAGAGGCCAAGTAATACTTACAGGTCAGGTTACTTGTGACCACATAAGGTCCGTGTTCCACAAAGAGTCCAAACAAAGATGAACCTCCTGGCCCACCCTGCAGCCAGAGAACCACTGGAGCGTCCATTGGCTGTACCTAAGGGAGCAGAGAGGCCAGAGTTCACACATAGCTTTATGCTGCAGAATCTGCCCAAGCAAGCTTACCTGTTACCTGTGAAATAAATGCTCTCTCTCCACCTTGATGAAATCCCATAGTCTTCCCAGACCCCAAATCACCTCCACTATGAGCAAAGGACTGGTCATCTCTTGTAGTTTTGAATTAGTATTTGCCTCAAAGGCTGGTGTCTCTCTTGTGCGACAAGTCGTTTCTTAACAATAACCATAAAAACCCAATGAACATAGATATTTTGCCTCCATACACCCCTAAATACTGAGCATGCTGCCCACGGCATGATTTTAATTTTTTAAATTGCTTTAATTATTCCATAAAACCAGTATGTTCTTAACAGAAGTCTAGCAAAATGTCTGTTCATCTCAGCAATAGTTTGCTACCTTCACTGAAAGCCCAAACTACCTTTCTCCTTTTATTCACTAAGAAGGTGGTCACAGGGAAATAGCAATTTCACTTGACATGGGGAAGCAGAGGCAGCAAACAGGCCTGGAGTAATTTAGCCCATGCAAAACAGCAAATTTATTTAGGAGATGTGGGAGACATAAATAAGAAAAGGCCATTGGCTACTGGCAAGTGTCACCACCACCACCCTCAGTGACAGAGAGGCCTTTCTGTCCTGTGTCCAACACACATTCATTGACCAAGTCATATGGGCTGGGCACCAGGCTGGGAGTAGTAGCTCTACACAGTAGAGCAGTGAATGAGAAAGAAAACTCTTTGGCGCTTACCTTTTCATAAGGAATACAGACACTGAGTGAGCAAGCAAAGAAATAAATACAGTGATTGTGAAAAGGAAGTAAGGGTGACATTAAGTGTCAAAGAAAGACACTATCTTTAAACACTGTGATCAGGGAAGGATTCTGTGAGATCCTGAGCATAGAACTGACACCTAAAGGCTGAGAAGGATCCAGCCACTAGAAGAGCGAAGGAACGAGACTGCAGATGGAGGGAGCCAGGAGGAAAAGGCCTTGCAACAGATAAGAACTGGTGTTAAAGCACCGTGGAGGTCGCCTGGTCTGTAAATGAAAGTGCCAAAGCAACCCGAGAGAAGCTGCACTTGGCCGCTGCAAGGCTCCAAGGACGGGTGACAGAGAGCCCTCATTTGATGTCATGGCTCATTTGCTGTGCAGCCAGCCAGGCTCGGCCAGCCCGGATCCTATTGCTGAGCCCAGAGTGCACTTCTGCAACCTCTCACTTAGCCTAGTCATGCAGAGAAAAAGGAGTGTTTCGTGAGAAGGTCTTAGGGGACCAGCCCCATCTACCTGGGTGATGTGATGACCGTGCACAGAAAGCAAGACTCTGAGAGCAGGTGACCTGGGAGATCACAGTTAAGAACTTGAGCTGATTACACTGGGTTTCTGAGCATAGGACAGAGGGGATAGAGGGCATCTCTTCTCCTGTCACCAGGAGTCTAAGTCAAAGCAGCTATGGAATGGCTCACGGGCCTGTGCTGAATGGGAGAAAGTGGTATGAACAACAAAGAACTGGAGAAGAATCTCCCTGTGAGGGGCTACCTCTGGGTCCCACTATCCAGCATGGAGGGAAACAGTATTTGTAAAGCCCTTGGAACTATGCCTGATGGGTGACAACCACACAATAAGTATAAATGATTACTTTCATTAATTAATTTTCATAAAGCCTAGTGAGTGACATCTCTCTTCTACCCATACCCGTCTGTAGTTGGATGTGTTCTGCCAATGTCAGCTATCGCTATAGTAGATACAAACTCAGAATTTCTAGATGGCTTTACTATAGACATCTCATACTTTTCTTTGCTCCTTTGGCTGACATTTTCCCTGGGCAGTTTCTCACTTGTTAGTTCCCTTGCCTCAAGTGTTGCAAATGTCGATAGAGATTTCAAGGGAACAAAGAAACTTGTCTTATAAGTTGAAGCAGGAAAATTTAAAGTCAGACAGCCATTAAAAGCACTGAAGGGAAGCAGAGTGAGGCCTGGAACCAGGAGCCAGACAGGTTCTGAGTCTACACGATCCCATGATAGCGTGTGATCCCAGCCCTCCTGTTCTTCCCACCCTGTTTCCTCATCAGTCTTGCAGCTTGCCTGCAGGCCTGGATGAGAAAATGTATCATGAAATGATATTATAAACTCTGCTGTGCTGAAGAAATGCAACAGCCCTGCCCTAACCTGTCTGGCCCCAACCGTGTGTGTTTTGTTTGAATATGTGATTTTTATCTCCCTTCAGATCCTCTTACTTGCTATTCAATGCCACTCACCAGGACCACCTTCCACTTGTGTCATTCAGCAGTAGAGGCACATTAGAGTGGAAAAACCATGGAATTTGGATGGATGCGGTTCAGCCTTCCCAGGAATGTGCGATACCGTGAGTGCACCTACTCAGTGCACACCCAGCCCCACTTCCTTCCTGATATGCACGTGAGCTTCCAGAGGCCACACTGTGCTAGTGCTAACCACACATGTGTTAGTGATTCTTTTCCTGAGCCACACGTTAATATAACACGGAGAATTAAAAAACAAAACAAAACAAAACAAAAAACAAAACAAAACTGCCCAGGTCCAAGTCTCAGAAATCCCAATTCAGCTGGCCTGGGTACAAGGCAGACCCCGCATGGTTCCAAAGTGCAGACAGGACTGAGAATCTGAGGGCAATGGAGACAGTGGGCGCTGAGAGATGTCCTAGCTCCTCTGGTCTCCACCCTATCCTCCCCTGGCTTTTTATGTCCTTTCCTGTGACCTGGCACAAAGATGGGACCTCAGGGCTCTCAGAAAAATAGCCTGACCCTGAGAGGCCACACTACAAAGTGAAGTCAAACACCTCAGTGCCAAACATCTTTATTATGCAACTGTGAAGCACAGGACACTGCATTCTTGGAATGCTTAAATAATAAGAGATCTGCATACACACCTCTAACCTCAGCTGACCTTGCTCCTCAAATTTACTTTCCTGAAGGAGGTGAATAAGATTCAACAACCCTTGAAGAGGTCCGCTTTTAAAGAAAACCACACACACAAATCTTTCTACTTTGATAAGCCAACCAGCCTGTGAACTAGCACTGCCCTTATCTGGAATGAAATGCAAAAGTCAGATGTTGGAAAATAAGGGTTTACATTTTTGATGAAAAAAACAAACAAACCAATAATTAGCTGTATCACAGCCTGCAGACTTTTGTCATATAACACCAAATGTCATGATCTATAATAATAATGATGTCAATAATAATAGCATGAAATTATTATGTGATAATTCCTAGGGTGAGGCATTTTGCACTCAACTATAAGAATATAGCCCTTCTACCTCTCTCTCATGAAGGCATCCTAAATAAAACCACATCGCAAAACTTCAGATCAAATAATGTAGTAATAACAGCTTTTGCTTATTTACAGTATCACAAAATTCAACCCTTTAAAAATATTTATTATTTTGAAGCTATGATTAAGAGTTTGTGAAATGAGGGAATTAGGGTGACTATTTTTGCCAAAAGTTTAATTTTTTTCCTTAAAACTTTTTCTATCACAAAAAAGTGCTTATTCTCAACTATATTTCATTCAGTAAAGGTATAAAAATGTCATCCTTGTCCCACCAATTCTAGTCCTTAGTAATGGTCAAGTTTGTGTGTGTGTGTGTGTTATAGACGTATAAAATATATGCTAATTGTAGATTTTATATATATACAATATACATGCTTAACCTGCCCCCAACAGAATCATGCTATATACAATACTCTATATTTGCTGTATGCATTTAACAGCCTATTGTACATATCAATATATATCACTGTCTGGCTGAAGAATATGATGCTCTGAATTTACCACAATCAATTAATTAGACATAAAATACCAACTAATCAAAAGCACTGTTCTAGGGCTGAGAATGTAGACTAGCTCCCACCCGTGGATAAGCAGGAGGCTTAATGGTAAAGAGCATGGATTTTAGAGCCAGATTATTAGATTTTTAATGTCACTTATTCTATATTATAACTGTGTGTCGTGGGTGAGTTACTTAACTTCTCTGTGTCTCCATGTCCTCTGATTAAAAATAAAGATAATAATAGTGTCTACTTCATAAAGCTGTTGGCAGATTAAAGAGTTCACAGATGTATAGGTCTTAGAACAGTGTCTGGCACATCTAAGCACTAACAGACCTGATTATTTTTCTGGTAAAGTAGGAAGACAAGTATAAGTAATTAAATAAATGTCATGATATGAGAGAATAATGGAGGGACATTAGGTTGAATACCCAAAAAAGGCCTCAGGTGATGGAATAATATTTGAGCTGAGGCCTGAAACTTGAATAATCCTTTACCAATAAGCATTTATATATTTAATTTAAAAGAAAATAAAATATTAATGATATATATGTCAGAGCAATCAGAACCAATGACCAAAAGGGAACAAAGAAATTCTAAATATTGAAGAAAGAACAAAGCAATCCTAAATGTTTAAGTGAGATGTCTCTCTGGCAACAGAAGCATCCCACAAACCTGACCCTTTGTTGGAGAAAGAGAAACTGGCTTTGCCTCAGAAGTCCTTTCAATTCTTCTGGTGACCCCTAGTGGCCACTTTATGAACTTGGACAATCCTAAACCTGGCAGGTTATCCTGCTTTTTTTTTTTTTTTAAGATTTATTTTTATTTTTATTTATGCATACAAGAGCTGGGGTGTAGGCCAGAGATGCGGGGGGTGGGGGTGCATGTGTGAGAGGATTCACCAGAGACAGAGTGGGGAGCAGAACAGATGTATCTACTAAAATACTCTGCTTTTTAGAATCTCCATAAAAGGAAATTTCACAATGTTGAGACATTGTGAATCAGAGCATTCTGTTATCTAATCACAATGATGGGCATCCCTGGTGGCGCAGCAGATGAGCGCTGGGATGCGAAGCTGCCCGCTGCTTCTGCAGCGCCGGTTCGATCCCCGGCTGCTCCCCGGCCACCGGAGGAGGGTCCCACATGGCAGCGCAGACCTCTCCTGCCGCCCGCTGCTCCCC